ACCCACATGCTACCCTGGATGGATAGCTAGTAGTGCGGCCCCGAAGATTGCTTGTAACATTATTATATGAATTTTAGCGTATTTTTCCTGACTCATTGTGCAGTGCTGGATTGTGAACTGCATGGGTGACAGTGGCATGCTGCAGGTGGGAGGGTGTGGTAGTTCAGGGCAGTGCTAATTCCACTTCTTGTGCCTGTATGTATCAGATGTCACATGCCTTTCTGCAACATGGCGTGACTGATATGATCGTCAATAATATATTTAAACCTACCTGCATCCATGTGCCTGTGAAGACAAACATTTATTGTCAGGAAGCAGACATGTAAGTTTTCTTATTTGTTATTACACTTGGACTGTAGTGTTATTTCATGAAGCGATTTAGTAAGTTAAAATAGTTCTGTTACTTTGCTGTATGGTCTATGTGGCTCATTCAATGTGACCCTGCAACTTCAAAGGTTAGACACCCAGCTCTTGCAAGTTTGTTTTGAGGAGTAAATGAGATAACACACAGAAAGGCCTTCGAAAATTTGTAGACATCACCCAAAAGAAGTCCCATGTGATCCTTTTTTGCTTTTCAAAAATTATCTTTTTTTAAGGAGTCTCTCCTTTGGGCTCTTCCTCCACTGTTTTGATTATAGTTAATCAGGGGAGCTCTTATCATGCCTGTGGAGTGAAGCTGTGTTATACATCATTCTGCCTTAGCATGGTCTGGCTGGCGAAGCCAGTGGCATGTGCGTAGGAAACCAGGCCAGCCCGAAAACTGAGGCTGGAGGCAGGAGAGCGCACTGCCGTGGGACAGGCTGTCAGAGAAGACTCCACAGGCCAGGGGTGTGTTGGGGAGACGTGGCGGTGACTGGGTGTGACAGTGATCTCCAGCAGAGTCCTCTGTCCTCCATGTCTGGGCAGATCTGTTAGGGTGTGCCAGCTGGAAAGCTCTCTGTACCTCAGTTTTTTCATCTGGAAAGTAGAGACCGTTGCCAGCCTCGTAGGAGGGTGAGTGAACCAAGGTAAGTAAAACCTCAACACCCTGTCTGAGTCACTGTAAGTGCTCAGAAAACCCGAGGCCACCCTCCCTCCACTTCCCTTACAAGCAGCTTTGGACCATCTGGTGCCCAGGTGTAAGGCCTTGTTCTCCCAGGCTGGGTACAAGCCTCACCTTGGTTCCTTATTTGATTTTTTTTTTGGATACAAGGTCTCACTATGCTGTTCAGGCTGGCCTTGAGCTCCCTTTGTAGCATAGGCTGGTCTTGAACTTGCAAGGATCTTTCTGCCTCGGCCTGCTGAGTGCTGGAATTACAGGTGTGTGCCACCATGCCCAACTTCCCTTATTTGATCTTCACAAGACCACTATAAATTCTGCAGATACCCTAGAATAACATAATAATAATTGTAAATTTGAGACATGCATATTTTGGGGGGAAGGGACTTGTTATAACAGAAAGACCATTGTATTAAAAAGCAAAAGGCTTGAAGACAGCCTTTCAATGGTAACGGCACCAGCAAAGACCGCTTATGATAGGCATGTGCTAAGTATTTTATGTAGATGCTGTCAAGGACCCCCCACAGCAGCCCAAATGACCCAGGTCTCTGACAGGCAGGGGAGGCTTACAGAGGGTAGTTGCTAGCTCTAGGTCATCAGTCTTAACCGTGACATACCAAAGAACTCCTGAGTGCCAAGGGCTTTGCAGTACATCTCATGGGATTTTCATAACAACCCATTTCACAGATGAAGAAGCTGAGGCTTGCAGAGAGTCAGTAATTATCGGCCGGTAAGGGATAAAAGTGAGATTCAGCCCTAGTCTGACTGTAGAGGCTGCTGACCCTCACTGGAGGGGAAGCCAGAGGTACTATAACTTGCAAGAGTTATTGTAAAATAAAACAGAAATGGTTGCTGGGAAGACTGTCATGCAAAGGTATGATTTCTGAAAAGGGTTAGGAAATAGAGCTACACCAGGGACACCTGGAGGAACCTGAGTGCAGAGTACGTTCAGAGCTGAGCTTGGGAATATCCAGGAGGAGGTGGTGGGTCCACTTTTAGGTGGTGCCAGCTGCCTGGTGTTGATGCCCAGGGACAACTCGCAGTGTTGTGCAAGGCTAGGCACCTACATCGCCTTACTGTCTGGGCTGTATAATCGTGACCAGAATTTGTGCTAAGAAGAATTTCGCTGTGAATTTGTGCCACTCTCTACCACCTTCCATACTTGGCAACCCCCTCCAGGCACGGACACTAAAGCCCTACTACCCTGGATGGATTCTCAGAGCCTCCTCGCTTGGCTGGCTGGGGCTTGGCCAGCACTCTCTGGCCATCTGCTCCGGCTGCAAAGCTCTTTGTTGCTTTTGGCATGTTTAATAGCTTAATTTCTATTTTTCTGTTGGAAAAAGCTGTTCACCAGCGTTGAGGCAGCAGTGGGTGCTCAAATGGTTTCTGATTGCTATCTTGAATGTTAATATCCTAATACGTTTTATTGTCAATGACCTGTCCTCCCTGCCACGAGTTCCCTTACTTTTCTTTTGCAAAGATAGGCTCGCTGCCTGCCCTCCACAAGCCTGGCTTCCCAGCTCATTCCTTTGCTGCCTCCCTCCCTGCTTTTCACAGATAGCATTGTACTTGGCCAACAAAGCCCACAGTCGTGGGAAATCTCTGACTTGGAGGATATGAGAAAGTGTTTCATTTTGCTGGAGGGGTTAGGAGGGATGATCTAATCTCTAAAAGGCATACATTATTTAAATTCCGTGCTCTGGGGCAAGAGGGCCCCTGATATTTTTGAACTTTGGCAGGGACAAGATTCTGGTTTGGCTCTCTTCAGTAGGTCCGATGGTTGGTTTTCCTGTTTGTAATTCAGGGCAGGCGCTGGCTATACTTGTGGCAGAGTCAGTACTAGTGGTGAGAATTCTGCGGAACTTTTTTTTTTAATCATAAACTTAAAATCATGGACTCTCAGGACAGAAAGGCTGAGGAAAGTCATCTTGAGGACTCACCAGTGTGTCATTTGCTTCCCATCTGGACCCCAGACTCAAGTGACAGCACCTGAGGGGCAATGCTGCTCTTACTGTGCTCTTGTGCCTCATCCGTGAAGCGTGGGAGACCTCTTGAGATGAAAACAAAATTTTTCTATTTAAAATTTAAAAAAAAATTGGGGGGTAACCATAAGCATTTGCAACGTGGTGATGTAGGGGGACTCCTGTGTGGCTCCGGACATGTGGATTGTCTGTGGTGTGGTGGTGGGGAAGGTGCTGAACAGCGTCAGTTCAAGTTGAGCTTCTTTGTCTTTTGGGCACTCATGCGTGGCATTCGTGGTATAGCCCTTGACCTCCCCTGCCCCTCCGTCAGATGCCATTGAGTATAGATTATGTGCTTGCCTTCCTCCTGGAGAGGCAGGCTTGGAGGAGTGAGTGGCCCACAATAGGTTCTAGAGACCCTGAACAGATCCTTTTCCCAACTGCATAAATGTGTCCTGGGTATTTCCTAACCAAAAGACAGTGAGCTAAGGATGCAAATAAGGCTGTCACACCTTCTGTCTAGCAGGGAAGATAAACAGTGAGTTCCAGTTTAGCCCAAGCCATGATGAGGACATGCCTGGTGTGCATTGAGAAACAGAAGAGAGCAGGATGAATTCTGACTGGGCATATCTGGAAAGGCATTATAGAGAAGCGATAATTACCCTTGACCTTGAAGGGGAGGAGGTGTCCACCAGACTGCCTCTCTGTCTGAAGTGTTATTTGCTAAATGTTTGTCTGCTCTTTTCTGGGGATAATGGAACAAAACAAGGGGGAGAGGAGGGTAGTGGTTCCTGCTCTCAAAAAATGCACAGCTTGCTGGGGAGGAAGCCTGGCACTTAGGAGCCAGTTAAACCTCTATGTGGACAGATGGATTATGGAGCGGGGAGAGGCTAATAGGGAGACTTGGTGAGCTGAGGTTTCCAGAATTGCTGCTGTCTCTTATGGAGAGCAAGTTTCTGTAAGGAGGACGCTAACCTTTCAAAGACACCTTCACTCTGAGAGGCTCAGTCCTCTGGTATTTTGTGCTGTGCGATTTTGTCAGGCTGGTTCAGCAAAACTAGTTGACTGGGTTGGGTGGAGGTCGGTGGTTCCCAGTTAACTGTGTTGATTCTCTGGACAATCATGGTAAGAATTTGGGGTTTGCAAACGTACGTACAACCTGAACATGAGCATCCCCGATCCTGCATGAGCACCGTGCACTGTGTAAGCCTTAGCTTCTGTTGCTTCCGCACAAAATGCCTTCCCTTTTTTGCCCTTGAAGACTTCCCAGAATGCTTTTCTTCACCTCAGGTTCCTGGGACATCCCAGTTGCTCTCTGTATTAAGCTGGATTTTGCACTATTCTCTGTTTTTTAACTCCTTGATGAGATGGCAGGCTCCAAGAGAGCAGGAATGGTATCTTGCACTTCTCTTATTTCCCCTGGGAGCAGGTCACATAGAGTAAGCACATGAACTTTTCTAGTCCTGTCACTGAATCTCAGCATTGCCAATTACCTTGGAACTTGGGCCACAGTTTCCTTACTTATGAAATGGGCTAACATGGGGCTTTTAAACCTTCCTACTACTGGCGTGTTTGGGTGGATGAGTCCTGGTGGAGAGGATTGTCCTGTGTGCCGCAGGATGTTTAGTACTTTCATGGCTTTTCACCTCTGGATGCTATTCACCGTGCTGTTCTGCCAATCATGACTGTCTAAAGCCTCTCCAGATGATTGCCAAGAATTCCTTTGGGAGCAGAACCGCTCCCAGTTAACAACCCCTTGAGTGGTGCTACCTTTTGCTTAAGCATCAGACCCCCTAGTACTGCATCTGGGGCACAGTAGACGCTCGCATTCATCAGTGTTCATTCTTCTTCAGTCCTAACTTACCTACAGCTTGACACATTGTGGCCTGAGACACTACATGGAGCTGTGGCTCTGGGTTGTAACAGTCTGGGGTGGACATGTTGAACTCTCTGGCTACCCACATGATTAACAGAATTGCTTGTCATTTTCTTAATTACAGATTGATCTGGAGCCAGAAGGAAGAGTGTACGTGATCATCGATCTCTCAGGGTCATCAGGTGAAGGTAGGCCTCTCACCCTTGATTCTTTCTGTTGACTCTTTGTCTTCTGGGTCCTTCCTTTCCCTTCTTGGCTGAGACCTATCACAGTGACATTTAATTAATTGGCATCCTTGAAAGGAGAAGGTTATTTTGAAGATGCTATGCCTGTGTACTAAAAGGGACCAGCCATCTGTTAACTGGTGGAACAGAGGGAAGATTTCTGACTTACCAAATGAGGCCAATAAAGCAGGCGTTTTTGCACGGTGTGCGCAGGGCAGGCTTCGGTGGCGTGGCAGCTTCTCCCCGGAGGCTGTGTGGGGTTTGTGTGTTCACTGTGAGAAGGAAGTAAAACCAGTTGGTCTAACGGTATTCAGGAATGAAAAAAAATAAAGTGTCAAACTTTAGAATTTTACTTCTTTAGAACATTTGTAGATTTTTTAAAACCAGTTCTTTATACAGCAAACACCCTGCTCTTAAAGAGAAATAGTAAGATGCAGGAACCTTTGCTCCCCATTAATTTTCTGATAGTTGAATTTTTCTTCTCTCTTCTTTTTTATGGCCATTTCCTTTGATTTTTTTTTTTCTTTGCTGACTTAGTACCTTTTCAGGGTTTATGTTGGGTGGTGCGGACTGAGCAGTCAGAGCACATGGTAAGGCTAGAAATTGAAACCTTGTCAAGACAGGAGGTCATGGCAGATGAGGCTGGGAATTCTTTTTTTCTTTCTCCTCTCTCTGTGGGCAGGAGGACATAATGTTAGTTTTATTTTATTTTGCTTTATTTTTCTAAGGCAGGGTCTAGCTATGTAGTTTAGGCTGGCCTCGAACACACTACGTGGCCGAGGCTGGCACAGTGACCCTCCTGCCTCAGCCCTGGAGTGCTGGGATTACATGCGTGAGCTACCACACCTTGCATTATGTTGGTTTTAATGAGATGGCACAAAGAGTGGGGAATCATAGCTCATTCTTTTTTTTTTTTTTTTTTTTTTTTTTGTATTTTTGAGACAGGATCTCGCTATGCAGTTCAGGCTGACCTTGAGCTCACCTTGTAGCCCAGACTGGTCTCGAACTCACAATGATCCTTCTGCCTTGGCTTCCTAAGTGCTGGGATTACAGGCATGAGCCACCATGCCCGGCTTAGCTCATTCTTGGCAGTGAGACAAAATGCTGTTTGGGGGTTGTGACCCAAGGCAGGAAGATGGGTACTTAGTTCCCTAAGCTTTTCTGGCTGAAAAATTCAGCCTTTCTTCACAATACCTCCCCAGAATAGTATGGTTTACAAGAACAAAGTCACAACCCCACCCGTGGTCTCTAGGTGAAGATCCAGCGATGGGAAGAAAGAGTTTGAAAGAAACATCAGAGGCGCTAGTTGGATGATACCGTACTTGATCGTGGTGCCTGATGACTTTCATTTGGCTCATTACCCAATCCTAACAGGTGTTCATAGTAGGAGAATATATGCGCACATATGGGGCTCATACCAGAATTTAGCCCTCTTTTAATAGGCATTAGTGATTCAGGATAGGTTCGAAGCTTTAAACATCCTTTCAAAATTGGTTGCTTACATTTCCTGCTCTTTATTGCAATTACATTTTGGCATTTCCAACTTCCTTTCTCTGTTCTCAGTGCTGAACAGCCCAGAATAGAATAAGCAATATTTAGCATGCCTTAGAATAAGCAACATTTAGTTTGAAATACCTAACACCTACAAAGGGGCCTAAAGAAAAGTGTAAATAAGCACCAGTGCATGTGCATCCTCTACTCATGTTAAGAAATAAAGCAACCTGGTCAGGTGCAGTGGAACCTGCCTATAGTCCCCGTCACTCAGGAGACTGAGACAGGATGCTTGCTTCAGTCTGGGAGTTGGAGGTCAGACTGAACAACATAATAAGAATCTGTCTTTAAAAAAAAAAAGCAACCAGTAAAGTCTTACAGTTGTTTTAAACATTTTAATATAGTATGCATTCCAACTTCACCAGGCTTAAGGTTTTGCAGTATTCTCTGACTGTAAATACTGGCTAAATGTTTGATGGGCAAAACTCAGTTTCTTTTTTCCTTCCATAATCTTAACTAAGCATGCACTTTCTGTGCCAAGATGTTGGGCAACCAATGGTAAGCTTGATTATTTTCGTTTTTCCTCTGGAAAGATTAATGACTTGCAAAACTGTAGAAGACATTTTTTTTTTAACATTAGAGGAGAAGGAGATGGACAGTGAATGCATAAATAAATCAGAGGCAATTGATTTTTTCTTGTTGGTTCTGTGGTTTATTGCATGTGAATAGCCCAAGCAGTTTTCACTGGGTTAAATTCTGAGTCGTTTTAAAAATCTCCTTCATCTAAAGAAAATAGAGTTTACTTTAGAAATGCTGACACATGCCAGAATCTGGGAAGTGCTAGCATGTGTTGCTCTGAAGAAAAGAAGGCATGTTTCCATTCTTTTTTCCTTGCTGTTCCTGGACTTGAGATCTTTTGTGTGGGTGGCGGGTAGACTTTCGGTAGTCCCTTCCGCGAAGCTGGTCTTGTTGTTTCCCACTGGTGTCAGACCCATCTGTCTGCAGTCCTTTGCCAGGACTGTGAGGGCTCCTGGCCCAGAGGTGTTACTGAGAGGATGGAGAGAGGACCTAGGAAATGAAGAGCCATGTCAGTTACCTAAACTGCCCGCGAAGGGTCTGGGGTGAAACGTGGCTGTCACAATGGCCCTTTTGCATTTACAGACTGTGAACATTCACAGATGCTTGCCGAAGTCCCTTTTCTGAGAGCAGATACCTAACTGTGTTTTGTGGAAGAGTCGAAAGGAGGCACAGTTGAAGTTTAACCCCTCTATTATTTTGCCATCAAACATCCCTACCTCTGATGCTCCAGCCCTGTCCGTGGGAAAAAAATATATTCGTAGCAATGGCACAAACTTTGCAACATATGCAAATTCCAAAGAGTGCAGAGAAAGGTGTGGGGGTGAGACGGTGTGAATACACCCCCTTTTTCTAGGATGTGCCAAAGAATTCTTCTTGTTGCAAACATGCTGTTAGAAAGCCTGGGTGTCTACATCCGCTGGATCTGGGTATAATGTGATTTCTAACTGTCTAATAAAATTCCACAACTTGCATATCCTGTGCAGTTCACCATAATGAGATTTGACCAGTGTGTGCTTTAGCTGAACCAGACAACCTAACCCCAGATGTAAAGGGTTCGCTTGGGTGAGAGCTAGGGTCGTTTCCGGTCATGTCCTTTAATCCTTTGGTATAATTTGAGTAGGCATCTGTCAGATCACACTTGAGGGCTGGCTGCTATCTTCAGCAGGGAAGAAATGAGTTATTTTTGGAAAGGTGTGGCACTGGACACTTTGCACATATTATCCCAAGTATCAAACCTACTCGTGGAGTGCTCATGGGAGTCTGGTCGCAGGTGCTTGTTAATGTTTTGTTTTCATCGGAGATAACAATCACATGGCTGCCTAGTAAACAAGGTGCTATGAGCTCAGCATGTACTTAAAGCATAATTAGCCCAGGTAACAGAAGCATAAATAGCGATGTAATTCTCAAACATGCAGATGCTTATTTCTCACAGTGTATATTGCTTAGTATTCCTTGATTATAATATAATTTGTACGTAATTTCTTATTCTTTATAATTATATGGCATTGTACGTTTATCTGCAGGCCTCTACATAAGACCATATCAAAGCTGACCCAGAACTTCTAGGTCCTTCTTCTCCTACCTTCCATCCAGATGTGGTGCTTATCTGGAGAATTCTTTAGAGTCTAAACTGACAACAGAAATGACAAGAAGGAGCCAGGCATGGTAGTGCACACTTGTAATCCCAGCACTCGGGAGGCTGAGGCAGGAGAGTTGCTGCAAGACCAGCCTAGGCTACAAAGTGAGCTCAAGGCCAACCTGAACGGCATAACGAGACCCTGTCTCCAAGAAAAAAAATAAATAGAAGGAAGTAGACCTCATTGCAATGTTTGTTCTACCAAGTTTTTTCTCCAGTAACTTTTTTCTAACTTCTACAGAAGCTGTAACATAATTTGAAAGGCTTTTGCAACACATGCATCAGAGATAATGCAGTTAAACCAAGATCTGGAGAGACGGCACTGTGTGGAAGCACAAAATGAGAAACAGGGAGCAGGTCGCCTGTCCCTTTCTGTGGCCACATGCTGCTGACTGTTCAGTCTCCTGTCTGGGAAGGAGCATGGCCTTAGGAGTCCCATCAGACCTGGATGTAAATCTTGGTTGTCATTCTTACTAGTTCGGAGCTTTATATTTTTTACCCATAAATTGCATCTGTGGTAGGTGCTATGGGAAGTTTGCTGTAAGAATGGTGCCTTGGTACAGTGCCTGTGCATGTGTAAGATGCTCAGTAACATAGAAAGGCTCAGGCCAGAAAGCTGGGCAGAGTTTTATGCAGTCTCCTTGGTGGCAACAGGCAGCAGATTCAGGGAAACTGTAAGGGCAGATTTCTGCTCGGCATGGCATATGCAGCAGGGCCAAGCACAGGGCAAAGTCAGAGAGGCAGTGTAGGGAATGCTGCATCAGGCAGCAGCTCTGAGATTGCTTTCTGCAGAGTTCGGACCTTGTTACGCTGTTGCCCCTTTGTCTTATTTCTTCCTCTCCCTTCCCCAAATGAAGTAACTACCAGAAGGACATTCTTGAGCACCCCCGAGTCCCTGGTTTGTGTCCTGAGGTCTTTAATGCCAAAGATTTCTTTGTGGGAGCCTGATTTGTCCATCCCTACACAATGCAGCCTAAGAACGTGTGGTCCCCTGCTCTCACCAGCCACTTGATAGGAGCCCTTCATCTATTTGAAGACAGCTATTAAATCTCTATTCTTCAGGAAATCCCTTGACCTTTCTGAAGGTTCTAAAAGAGATTGTTTTTACATTGTACAGGGATGCAGGTGTCATCATGCCAGCTTTGCTTGGTTCTTGGACGATAACACATGTAGAAATTTTAGCTTTTCCAAGTACCTGACGTTATCACTTCACGTGGTGATCAGAAGTAGAGAGGGCAAGTGATGTGCCTCAGAGCTA